TGATCCGTTCCGTATTTGTTGGTCTTAAAACCAGACGACTGGGAACCAGGTATTTACAGTAATTCTATGTGGGCGTCATTGTCATTGCTAAAAACTCGTTTAATTTAGACTTTATTCTATGTACATACACAACCACTTGATGAAGTCATTACATTCCAACTTGTAAAAATTCTGATAACTTCCAATGAATACCGCCATTGACAATATTCAAGGAGTAAATTAAAACACAGTGATAAGAGTATGAGCCAAAATATCCTTCATTGACATCCTGCGTGAGTCGGTCTTTTTAGACCTTTTTAGTGAATTTCGGTGAGTTTTCCTGACTCGAATTGGCTTTTGGAATTTAGTGTTTCGCCCAGTTGGTTACAACGAAATTTATCTTGCTACAATCACACCTCCTAAATCAGACATAATACTGCAGTGCCTTGCCTCCTCCGCAGGCATCACCTTCAGATTGGCGGGCAAAATTTGCTTGCAGGCAAAAAAATTGTAAAGTAAATGATCCACGAGCGGAGGAAGCTAGTCACGCGCATGACATTTCTGTTCCGTAACTATTTCTTTGTGCTTCTCCAGCTTGTCAACAATACACAAGTTAGTTAGTTTGTTGAAATGTTCAGTGTAATACAATAAAGTAAATCAGTACTCAGTAGATATAATATTAAGTAAATATAATATAAAGTACACAAGGAATGTTATTTGTTTGCTTTGTCTGAAAATAACAACATCCCAGTTCGATGTAGTGATCATTCTTACTTAGTTGAAACTATTATTTCAACAGAGGTAACTCAAAATACCATTACTATGGAATCCGTATTCAACCAAATTCTCCTCTGAATGCTTTGGTTGATCATGAAATCCAAGGAGCAATGCGACAATCTCCTTCCGCTCATAAGAGGTATGTTCGAAATAATTAAACCAATGTAATTTTTTGTGACACTAGGGTCAACGTTTATACTATATGACTGTGTGATTTCGCACCCAGGTGGTATATATTATGCAAACATGAAGTACTGGTATGTGTAGGCAATGTCCGAAGCAGCTCGTACTGCATGGGCTCACGCGTACCCTTCCCTGCATACGTCATGTTTTTTTATGTAAAATGTCCGGGTAGACGGCAGATGAGTGATTGACTCACTTTAACAGAGCATGCATATGCAAATGGCTCTCCATTGTACTTATTGTACATAATACTGTACAGTATTAAATTAATTTTTAGCGGATCAGTTAAAGTGATTTTAGCAAGATTTTGACCATTTTTTTTCCAAGCAGTCGATTAAAGTTAACAACGAAGGTTGAGAATGAATCATTTGGAGATGAACCGAGTCGCGGAGGAGAAGACTCTCAACAAACAAAAAATCAACAAGAGCAACATCAACAATATCTTGGTGATATTTCACAAGGTCTTCCAGAGTTTAAACCTGTTCTGACAAATGAACCTTTGCCAGGTACCAAATTAATTCATTTTTTCCCGTAATTGAAATCATATTTTAATTCTAAAACGAGGACTAGGTCAGATCTTAGTATGAAGAAGTTCCACTAAGGTCTTTAGACTAGCGTTCATAACCAATGACATAAGCTTATCCCTTGCATGAAGATACTGCAATATGCCAAGCAACATAATATCCAAAGCATGAGAAAGCAGCAGAAATAATATTACCTCAACCCCTTGGAGGGTTGCAACTGCATGTGAGAACGTCTTCGAAGGATACTACTGTACTCAATCCCAAAGGCGTGTCGATTCAGTCTTACTACATTGTTAAACCCCTATTAGTTATGACCTCCGGTAGAGGCCTTTTTTTTATAAGGGAAGGGAGCGTAATAGATCTCAACCTCTAGGGATCAGTAGAAAAGAGAGCAGTTATTTGAGGAGGACGATTGGTTAATCATTGATCAAATCGATGTACGATTTATTTATTGTAGATGGAATAAGCAATCAAGATATTTTGGTTTTCTCTCAACTATATCGAGAACATTGTGAGGTAAAACATTTAAAATGATTACAATTTCGTGTCGGATTGAATTAATTTAGGGATAGATCATGCATGTTTTAGATTCAGGGCATAAAATAATGTTAAATATTTATCAAAATTTTGTTTGCAGGCAATTTTAGACGTCGTTGTCAATTTACAATTCTCGTTGGTTGAAACTTTGTGGCATACTTTCTGGAGAGCGCCAGCATCTGAAGATGAAACTAAACAAGAATTACAGTCCACAAAGTAAACGGATATTTGTTAAAATATGTTTGCAAGATGTACTTTGGAAATATCTCCAAATTATTTTTAACGTCCTACCGTCTGTGGTCAGTCCATCTTGATTTTTTTTTTGTGGCATCTAAATACAGTATCAAGAATCTTAGCATGTTAATAATTCATTTGCATGTGGAATACTGGGAAGGGATTGTTTAGACTATTCGACACATTGTTGAAATAATATTAATGGATCTTATAGTACGATTGCAAGCACAAAAGGCTCGAAACACCCATAACGTTTATTCCAGTGGGCTCTCCCTATTTTCTGCAGTGAGTGTGCTTTCACGAGATCTTGTGCGAGAAATGCAGGTAGAAACATTCCTGTGTTGCTTTCACTCAATGGAAACGTCCGCAGAGGAGAGAGTACATTCACGTTAGACTGTTAGAGTACTGTATACCGCTAGAAAATTACCAATGTATTTTAAGAAGCTGCAACTTTTTAATTATTCTATTAATTTTTATTGACATCGTTGTCCTATATTGATCCAAAATCAGGGTTCGTAGCGGTCTTTGAAATCCTTGAAAGTCTTTACATTGGAATGCAGGTCTTTGAGGTCTTTGAAAAGTCTTTAAATTGTGTGAAAAAGCGAAGAAAGTCTTTAAACGTCTTTAAATTCTTTAGTGAGGAATTGATTAAACGATTTCCTAGCTAATAAAATAGATTGATTGAATCGAGATTTTCGCAAATATCGACGAAAATGCGCATTTTAGGATGTGATTTGACGGGACTAATTAATGGGTCGTGTATTGTAAATAGATTAACATACATGTAAGATATATTAACATTTGGTGATATTTTGAATTTTAGCAAAGATCTTGAAGAACGACTTCCCAAGACAAAATTAACAATACTGTGTAATTATCAACCTGTGTTGGATTATGTCAAAGATGCTGATCATGTTCTTTATCAGACATTGGTTGAAACATTAATTCCAGAAGTATTGAGACCAATACCAGGTAAATAGATATCAAATATAAGATATATTAATAGTGGACCTGCTGCAAATCACCAATCCTCTCAAATAAACCTTCCTTTTATAATAAGTTTCCTCTTTTAGGACAGAACTTTATTAAGCTCGCCTGTCTTTTAAGGTATCCCCCTCCTTCAACCAATTTCTAGTCCAAAGACCTAAGCGTGTATATAGTTCCGCGATATTCAAACCTAGCTTGCGTAACTTGCTAAGTATACAGCAATATCAGCATCTGCAAGTTACATTTTTTATCTAGGTTCTCTAACATCTGCCATCAGAAATTATGCCAAATGTCTTGAATCCTGGCTTGTTGGCAGCCTTACGGATATTCCACAGAAGATGGTAGACCTTAAGGTAGTGAAATAGTTTCATGTTTATTTAAAGCAATAAATGAAAATACTGCCGATTACCTGGATACAACTTGTGCGAACCTGTATGGTCCGAAGCCTGTATTAGAAATTTCCCAGTATCCTTTTCCAAACTTTATGTTCGCTGTAGTCAGATTTGTGTGATTTTCTCCCAAATCATAGTTACAGTAATACGTGCCTTTTGAATAAAGATGTTGTTGGCATCTCGATGGATTGAATGATAGTTGATGGGTTTGTAGATGGAGATTCTGGAGTGGAAATTTTGTATATATTTATTAGACCTAACCAGGAACAGCCGAGAAAAATGCAAGTATACGTCCTCTGGCAAGAATCGAACTGGCGTATAGTTGCATGCTTGGGTCTAATAAATGTATAGAAAATTTACACTCATAATTTCCATCTACAAAACTCTTCAACTTTTCATTAAAGGCTGGAGTGATGATGTTTCCTATCGTCAAAATTCTGTAGAATTCCCCCCTCCCGATCCCCATCCTACTGTAGTTCATTCGCTTTACTCGCAATGTACGCGGGGCTAACTGGAAATTAGTTTTGGCCACCTGCAAAGAAGTGGGTATACTGTAAAAGTATACTGTAAAAGTACACTGTATGCCGTCCAGAGGGAGTCATTGATCTCGTATGATAGGTATGTGAAACGAGTTGCTGTATCTGATATAAAATCATTTTTATCTAGACTTCAACATGCAGTGCATTTTCCCAGACTTTGCGTCGTTATACATCATTAAATCATCTTGCACAGGCAGCCCGGGCTGTTCTTCAGAACCCACAACAGATCAATCAAATGTTGGCAGACTTAAACCGAGTGGATTTTGCTAACGTCCAGGTAGGCTTGATCTCTGAATAATATATGCAATGGGTATAATGTCAAATCAATATAACCATAATTGAAACCATAGTCTTTCAAAACATGGTTTGGAAACTCCGCTCTAAAGTCTTTGTTCAGTCATTTTGTTCGCGTTTATCAAACACAGCGATTTCTTACCTCAAAACTATCCATGATCCTTGCAATACACCCTCATGAAACCGAGGCTGTATGGCCAAGACTGAACACTTTCCGGAAAGGTGTATTCTAATCTCAATCCTAAAGGCCATTTTTCACTTCAACTGTATCGTAGCGTATTTCTTTGTTTCCTGAGCACTGGAGTGGAAGTAATGACTTCGACACAAAAGAAAGTGCTATGATACGTTACGAAAAAATACGCTATGAAAACGACCTAAATTAATGCTCGCCTTAACACTAACCCAAATCCATACCGTTATCCTAACCTTAACTCCAATCTTGATCTACTAGTAACTTCGTCACATTTAAATACAAAGTCGACTCTGTGGGCATCCAAAATATAGAGAAAGGCAAAAGGAATTTCAAAGATTTATCGAAGATGTGCTATAACTCCTTGAAAGTACATCATCTTTGTGCGATCATTAAAATAAATGTTTTATTAGGAACAAGCGTCTTGGGTGTGTCAATGTGACGATGAAGTTGTCAACCAGTTAGAGGCAGATTTTAAAGCAACGTTAGCACAGCAAGTGAGTATTAAGTTATAATGTGTTGTGCTGCAGGACTGCAAAAATTGTTTTCTTTTCTGCAACAGATATTTTGTTCATGCAGTTGGAGCAAAATACAGAGAGTCCCATGTACTACCGGAGTTATATAGTTTCCCGTCTATGACGAGTTTATAAATTTCGAATATAAGTTGTATTTCTTGTTTCTATTTAATATATGCTTTTTAAGATTTTCATCTCCTATTTTCCATTGGTTTCTACCTTTCTCAAAATATTGTTCAGTAGTTCGCTAAATTTGCAACCCTGATGTACTATGTTATGTATCGTTTTGTATTGTACTTAATTCTCTCTATTTTGTTCCGAAAAATTCACCTGACGAACAAGCTTGCAAGGTTCCAGAGAAATGAATGAAACTGATTTACATTACTATAGAATTCACTTGAGAAATGGGCGGAATGGTTGGAAGATGTTGTTAATAAAGTTCTTTCTGCTACGGAAGGTACCCCAGCTTATCCTAAAGCTGCTCGACAGTTTTTGTTGAAATGGTCATTTTATAGGTAGGTTTAAATGCACCTTTTCTACTTTTTGTCATTTTTAGTTTCCACCAAGCACTTGTCGTAAAAACGCGCAATTTCTTACACATCTGGAAATAGGTTGTAAAAAGGTTGTTGTCAATATTGTTCACACTGCTTGTTACCTGCAGTTGTTTTAGCAAGTCTGAACAAGTTGTTATCACCTTTTAAGGTTGTTAATGATAACAGCCCAACCTCGTACCCAGGATCTTTCTTTGGGAAAGATGACATCTCTCCCAGATGACAGAAGGAGAGACCTTGGGAACGAGGTTGATAACAGCCTTGCTACAAGTTATTCCAACAAGACTAATACAGGCTGTTCGTAACAAGTTGTTACGAGCTTTTTGTCATGACTTGTTGGAACACCTTGTTGCGAGTATGTTGGCCTCATCAACCTTGTTACAAGATGATAACAGCTTGTTCCAGACTTGTCAACAACTTGGAATAAGCAATACGAACATATCTTGTTGACAAGCTGGGAGATGTTTACGCTTGTAAAGCAGATCGTGGTGAAAATGAGTGAGAAAATGTTATTTATTTTTATTATATGTAGTTTAGTCTTGTATTTGGTGGCAAATAAATAGAAATGAGAAATTGTCGCCGGCCTTTTTGAAGTGATACTAAAACCTAGCTACCATAACGTGAGTGGAAATCACGAGGTTATACTATCTCTCTTTTGAATCGTTCTTGTGTCTCCTGTATCTCTCTCAGTTTATCTTGGAAAGTGACAGAAAATTAGAAATTTTCAAATTTTGCATATCGGCCTTATTTGTCAAAGTATTGTCCAATTATTTCGTGCCATTTTGATTGTGTGCTGACATCATATATACATCATTAGATTCCGCTCACTGAGGAGAATATTTCGATATGTGACACATGCCTGTAGAATGTATATTTCTCTCAATTTACCGTGTCATCTATGCTTAATACGTTAATAGAATGAAGTCTGTGTAGATACCCTGTATCTTATTGTTCTACATGCTTCATTTGTATTTTAGTTCCATGGTAATCCGTGATCTTACATTACGTAGTGCTGCTAGTTTTGGTTCGTTCCATTTGATTCGTCTTCTCTATGACGAGTATATGTTTTATTTAATTGAGCATAAAGTGGCCGTTGCTACAGGAAAGTCGCCTATTGCTGTTATGGGGGAGGTAAGCAAGAAATATGTTTTCCACGTATATAGACCAATTGCGAAACTTAGTGGCCTTCATAAACAATTTATTTATTTAGCTTTGCCAACTAGGGCAGGGTCACCACAACAGCATATGCCAATTACTGTGGGCCCTTTTTACCTAACCCACCCTGTCAACTTTCCCTGTGGGAGGAAACCGGAGTACCCGGGGAAAACCCACGGTTTTCGGCAGAGCGTTGACATTTACTCTTTTCACATGGGGACTGGGTTCGAGTCGCATTGAGAAGGTACTTAGTGAGACTCGAACCTGCAGCCTCAGAGGCGAAAGGCAAGTGCGCTAACCACTCGGCCACCGAAGCCCCTGTGATTTTTTTGATTAATTTCTATATTTTTATGTAGCGAAAAGTGTATTTTAGGGTTTTTAAAGTGTTTTTTCTTTAATCTCTTTGATCTTTTCTTAATATTTCGTGCTAGGTTATACAAATATTTGTTAAATTTATCTAAACATCGATTTCCCACTATATTTTTACCCGCTTTGGAGAGATATTTCGTTGTTGTTTTAGCATGCGATGGAACAAATATATGGAAAAGATCAATCTAGACTTTAAAATCTGATCAAGATGCAAATAAAATAGCCAGTATAACTTAACAAACTAAAATATAACTCTTTCTACCCAGATTTTTTTAGACTTCGTGCGAGAAAAAAACGATTTTGTCAAAGGATAATAACATAAAATTTCTACAAATTTTACCCGACATTTTCTTTCATATTTTAAATTTAAAATCGAAAACTTGCTATTATATTACAACTGAAACAAAATTAATCAATGTTACAACTTAGTCTTTGAAATGTATTAATAAAACAGACGGAAAATACCTGATTCTTTCTCCGGCATAATCTGCTTCTTTTATCGGACGGCGAAAAACAGCAAAACATTGCCTCGCACGCCGCGAAAAACAATGAAATTTGAAGTAAGACTAAATCTATGAACAAGTTTAATAAAGATTTACATTGTCAAAACAGAAATATTGAAAAAAAATGAAGAGAAGTGTGGGATGTGAAGTGTGGGATGTGTTTGGTGAAACACAGTCAAAACGACTTCAGAAACTTCAAAATAGAGCTGCTCGAATTATCATGAGTATGAGCAACGATATAGATCACACTATTGTTTTACAGGCTTTGGGCTGGGAGCCACTTCAGTCAATAAGAGAAAAGGCAAAAGCAATACTAATGTACAAAATTCTGAATAAAATGGGCCCTGAGTCACTCACAAACCTTTTCACCTATAAAAGTGGGATGACAAATTACAAACTTCGGGACATTTCCAGTGGTCTTTGTTTACCACAACCTCGAACAAATAAAATGAAAAATAGTTTCATGTATAACGGAGCTCACTTATGGAACTCTATTCCAAATGAAATTAGGGAAAGCAAATCCCTGTCATGTTTTGAAAATAAAATTGCTACTCACATTCTTTAAATTAACTAAAACAAGATCCTAAGAAACTGAAAACCTAAAATACTTGTAAATATATATATGACTTACTTATAGTTTATATAACTTAGTTGATATTATAGATTGTAAATAGCTTTAAATACCTTATACTATATTTGTAATTCCTTTTTACACGCCCCCTGTGGAAATCAGCCTCGGTTGACAGGGTTAGCGTGGATAAATAAAGTTTTTCTATCTATCTAAGAGATTACCATAAAAACGCGTCTCAAACACTGAAATTCATTTTTCGCCATATAAAAATATAGCGGAATGATTTGTTTTTGCATAATACTGTAAGCCTCGTTTTCGTGTAATTTAAGGCGCGGTCACTAAGTTTCGCAATTGGTCTATACTGTCATAGACATAGGACAAGCTTTACAGACGTGATTATGGGACTATGTAGTGTGACCCAGCCTGGAATGAAACTATACCTGCTCAGTATTAACCTTTAAAAATCTCTTAATGAAATAATGAAATATTACTTTTACGCATTAGATAGGAATTATAACGTGGATGTCCTCGATCGTGGAAAACAATTTGCCTGAAATGTAACCAGGCCCGGGACCTAACCAAACCTATATATTGCATGTTGTTTTTAAATTAGATATGTATCTATATATACATATATATGTGTCTATGTGTGTGTGTATGTGTATGTTTGTGTAACACTGTACTTGTACGTTTACGTTTTGGGATCACAGTATTGGCCTGAAGCTGTTGTGATTTCCTGTCACATTTGTAATGTTATATATGTAATTATTGTTATAAATGTAATTATTGTGACAAAGCTTGTAAAATTAAAAATTAAAGTATTGCAGGAACTTCTGGTGTCCTAATGAAGCCACAGTTGCTGATTGGCTCGATCCCATTCGCGAAAATTAATTTTTAGCAGCTGTTTCGATTAGACATCGAAGGAGGACAACACACTTCAGTTTCACATTTTACCAATTAGTCAATTTTAACTAACATTCATTTTGTTTTAGTTTGTTGGTCTTGGTGCCAACCTTGCTGCAGCGTTGGCTCCTCTAGATCCGCTGAAACAAAGTATGTACTGTATAATAATCTACATTTGTCTGCATCGATGTATTTTGTGCAGTTGTTGCTTGAATTTTGTACATGCCTAAATAATGTTGGGTATCTGGGTGTTCTAAAGTCCAAACACGTTTAACACCATATAGAGACATTTCCTCAAAATAACAAATCAATAAGTAACTTGATGGCATGGAGAACAGTGGGTGGTGCTGTTATATCTCAGTGGTTTAATCTTCATTTTACTTTCAGATGGCCTAGGTGACAGTGGATCAGACGTGACTTCAGAGGATGATTATGGTGACAGTAAGGATATAAAGAAACCAACAACAGATATCCCTACATTAGATGAACCTGACATGAAGAAACAACGGACAAATTAAGAAATTTATTAATCTAGATATTTACTTTATGTCTCGTTATTCAGAGTTTTAGATGTCGATGCTTTTAACCATATTAGGTACATTTGTGATTCAATTGTTCAGTCAGAGATTATAATACAACAGCGTTGAAGCTATAGGACGTGAAGAGCTCGTTTGTCACAAAAAGCAAATAAAGGTGATTAAATAATCCGAATGCGAATGACAATATATGGTGTCAAGTAAACGAGCAACAAAATGACTGCGACGACGTCAACATATTTCTGGCATGTATTAGAATTTGTACAGCAGTTGTGGTGCTCATATTACTTCACGTTTTGTGAATGCTTTGAGTTACTTCTCCCGTCATCAACGGCTGTCTGCCACAGCTTTTTCACTATGGCTTACAGATCGTTTATTGTGTTTGTCATGGTAAGCAAATCTTTAGTTTTGTTGTATCAAATATTTGTAAATACTTGTAGATCACAGGATATATATTATCATTTTAATGATTGAAATTGTGTAAATTATTGAACGATTGTGAATGGGTTCAACCTAATCATGTGCTTGTGAAATCTCTCCGTACAAACGTATTCATTGCTTATAAAAGTTGTAAATAATACTAAACCTTTGTTGTTCAACTTTATTTCATAAATTGTATTAAGATTTGTATTGGATTCATATTGTACTTATATAGTTTATTCATTAAATATATAGATCCTCGTTTGACCAAGGCATAAAAGATTGGTACGTTATGATGGTAACATAGACGGATTTTCTGGGGGTGCAGGGGGGGTGCTACCCCCTCCCCCCCCAACTAAATGTCCACCCCTCCAAAAAATAATTCACTCCCCCCCCCAATATTCGGCATAATAAATAAATAATTAAATAGTCCACTCCAATGTGCAGTGTTGATGATACAAAATAAACGTAGGAGTACACTCGAACAGAAAAAGACAGTGCAACACTCTGAAACTAATCGCTCCTTGCTTGCATTGCATTCACTGGCTTATTGGAGCAATTGTAAAGATTTAAAACTCTATTATCTTCCCAGAATAGAGTGCCTTGTCATGTGAATAGCTTGCACGCAAGGAACATTTGGAATTTTTACGAACACTATTTTTAGTTTTTAATTCTTTTAGGAAATAGACTTATATTATTATATTATAAATATTATTTACATCGGAGTTGCATCATAAATTGTACTTGGATTCAAACAACACAATGTCAATGACTTTATAAAAGTAAAAGCATATTGTGAATTGGCCTATTGGGTTTACACTTTTAAAGCTTCATTTAACTTTAAGTCTTTAGCTCTCTCAAGTCTCAACAGACAATCGGACATGCCAAATCCATTGATATGACAAAACAACTTCAAAAAACTTTTCCTGGGATACTTTGTTTTCTGCTCTCTAAACTCTACCTCGCGGTTCTAGTGCTCCACCCCTAGAACATAGACCTTACTGGGGTTTGGTGACACTTTGTGTTGCTTCAGTCACCTGCTCGCGGCTCACTCCCCTAAAATTTCTGGCACCACCCCAGTAATAAATATGAAAATCCGTCTATGGCTCAACGTAGCTTGACATAAGTCTGACACGCCCACCTTTCAGTTTAAGAATAGTTAGAATGGAGTGTTTTATATCTGATAAATCACGACTACAAGTGCTTTAAATGGCTTAAAAACGACTCATCTTACGAGTTCATTGGTGAAGTCATTTTTAAAATAAACTTTGTCTAAAGCAAGAAAATCAAAGCTAACGTTTATGTAAATTAACATGATTTTTTATCACGTTTGTGATTTTTCTTTGTTTTCCTCCTGAATTATCGAGTTTTTTAATGTTTGTAACATATTTTGTAAAAAAGCGAGCATTGTGTGATAGATAAATACATGTCACGCTTGTTGCAGCTGATGCAACAGCAACTGCCAGCAGTGTGTGAGAAGAATATTTTTCACAAATATGAAATATATTTTTGGCAACTTGGTTTAAGCACTTAGATCAATTTACAATTACAACATTGTACTAATTAAAGCAAAAGACATTACACGAAATATAATTGATTTAGTACAGTATTTCAGCCACATGCTGTTTTATGGATTGTTGTTGACAATTATTCCATTATTCCATGTATTTACCCGTAATTCTCACATCAGTATTTAATGCGGTGTAATTCAGTGAAGAGATTGATTGCATGGTACTCTCTCATTTGGACACAGGGCCACTGCATAGAGAGCAGAGAGGGGGACAGATGGGAGGGACAGGGGGCATAGAGGGGAGGGGGCAGAAAATACAAATTGTTTAAAGGCATAGCATCAGCTGCTGAGTGAGTGATTTAGTTGGCGTGAAACTTGATTTTGTTCACAAACTTTTTCAAGTTGCACGAGCGTTTCAAGTGCCAATCTAAAGAAAACTTGAGCCTGTTTTTTTGTTGAATTCGTCAGCAGTAAGGCACGGAATTACAAATTTTTTTTCATTGTGTTTTATTTCCTTGCTATTTATGGCTGTTTTATTTCATTTATGGAGAAAAGTAAAGATATTTCTAATGCTTGTAAAACTCGAACTTCTAGACGTTTTTCTCCTTCCAAATCCTATGAAAATGACTTTGAAAGCTGCTTTAAAATTTTTGATTCGACTCGCCAAGAAAAAGTTTGTGATACATGTAAGGCATGCGTGTATTTTGTTTGTTACTTTACATTCTATAACATTCTAAATGTGTGTTTATATATAATAAACTTATAATAAACAAAAATATGATGAGTATAAAGTATACCTAAGATTTCTTCGAACAGGGACAATTGAGATCTTAATATACATATATATGCATTGCATGTGTTAACATGAGAAGTATAATGATGTTAATGTGATGTTGTATTTTCTTCGCTGGAAAGCCCACCGACACCTCATTATACCGCTTGCATGCCATTGTTCTTGTGAAAGATCAATTCAATGTCAAAGTGTTATATAAATATTTCCAGGGTTGATCAGCCAGTTTTCGAAAACAAGGCACCACCGTACTGTGACTTATTCTCACATTAAAATTCGGTTGCCCCGAAATGATACGATCGCTTAATACCCAGCGAGCGAGAAAATAAACTTGTTTTGCATAATCTGACCGATTGTTCACATGCTTTGGAACGTGTGCTTGGTAAAGAAATACAACATATGTAAATATTTGAGTTAGTCCTAATAGACTAAAAGCATCCAAAACATAAACTGCACAGAATACAATTTTACTCAGCTGTCTTGAACAAGGAAAATTACACTCAAGCCTAATTGTTATGATGATGAATTGTCACGCCTGTTGATGTTGACAGGACTGTAAACCACATATATGCGTATCAAAGGGGTTGATCGGTTAGATTTCAGGTTACATCACTCGCTATTTCGGTACTTTTTTTCTCCGACCATGGATCCTTCTATTTTACACTATGAACGAATAATCGTAAAACAAAAACTACAAACTCACGAACCAAACACAAATCTCAAGAGAATTCACTCACTATAGGTTTCATTCCGATCTGTACGTCACGATCGTTCAAATTAACGATAATTTCTTCCTTGTTAACTCAATTCTCATGTAAAACATCCGATTGAGAGTGAATATGTAACCACTCGTTCAATTCAAATGACCAGATCTATTCTTGGGCTCAGACGATTAGATATTTTAGCGAGAGCAAAGCACAATGAAACGCTTGTGGTTGGTGCAAAAGGAGTTGCAATAAAACATTGCTCAATTTTGTAAATAACAGCCAAATTTACACTGAATATTAAATTTAGATAAATTTATTAAAATAATTTCCAAACATGATAAATAATATCAAATTATAATGTTGTTATATAATTTTCAAGATGGTCTAAAATCACATTGCTCAAATGGTGACAGAGATAGTTTTATGCAATTTATATTGCATCATAGGGCCCTTGGTAAGGTCTGGCCCAGCCACTGCTGGCACTACAACCTCTCTCATGGTCCTCATTGGATCTTTTGAGAGACATCAATGTATATTAAGATTATAGTCAAAACCTAAACACTGCTGCATCTACACAATGAACGAAAATGCTGGAATGAATAAGATTTGAAAATAAGTTAAATTTTAGCATTAATTAATAAAATATCAATATCATATAACGTATGCAAATGTTTTACCTGAATAAACCACACCTCCTTCTAGTAACGTGAGTGCCACTGAGAAGCACCCCCCGTCCATGCATTCCAATCCACAAGCTTAAAATATTATTAACATAAATAAGATTTTGTTGCTTCTATAGTTCTATAGCGTATAGTATTCTGTCATGTAGTCTAAATACGAATAATTTCCTACCTTTTTCCGAAGGGAAACCACATTTCGCTGGTCTATTTTTCTTCGGTATGCCTCCGATGGTGTAAAACTCCTTTTATATTTTTTGCTCGGTGTCTATTTAGAGAGAGAGAGAGAGAGAGAGAGACGAAGGCAAAACTTTTCTTTAGGAATTCTGTTTGTGCTCCTGGCAAAATTAGAGAATATGAATAAGCTTGGTCCATGTAAGACATTTTAAAATGGTCACGTAAGTAAACAGGAGCCATATTATTTAATATTTTATACATCATTATGAGTTTATGACTATTCCTTATTTCGGAAAGTGTTTTCCATTTCAATTGACTTCTAATATCCTTAGATCTTACTTCATAACCCTGACAAGTGATAACTCTTGCTGCACGATTTTGCAGTTTTTGGAGTCGTTGAGCAAGTGTGATTGACATGTTATCCAAAACAACATCACAATAGTCAAATATTGGTTGAATTATATATTGTAAGTAATGTTGAAAGGGTAACAAACTCTCTCACCATAAACTCCGGAAATTCCGGAGCATATGGTCTTAGAGATTTTATCAATATGATCTCTCCATGACAATCTTTCGTCAATGAATATCCCTAGTGATTTTGATACTTTAACTCTTCTTATGGGTTTTCCACCCAGAACTAAATATGGTATGTCCCGCATTTTGTCAAGATTACTGTCAGACGCAATGAACATATACTCCATTTTGGTAACATTCAGGGTAAGTTTATTTGCTTTGAGCCATATGCGAATATTTTCAAGATCTGTATTGGCTCCAGATGCTATTTCCTTTATCGACATTCCAGTTGTAGTTATATTTGTATCATCCGCATACATTCGTGCTGTAGAATGTTGCAGACAAGAAGGAAGGTCATTAATGTAAACAAGAAATCCTTGAGGTACCCCACATAGCAACAAGCGCTCACTCGATACTAGACCATTTACACTACATTTTTGTTTTCGGTCAAATAGATACGATTTAAACCAATTGAGACTCATTGAATCAACTCCATAAATCTGAAGTTTGCTCAACAAAATCTCATGATCCACCATATCAAATGCCTTGGCCAAATCAAGAAACACTACAGAATTCAATTGACCTTTATCCATATTGCTTAGCCATTCTGTAGTTGTGTCCAAAAGTGTGCTTGTGGTGGAGTGAACTGGCCTAAATCCAGACTGTTTATCATAAATAAGGCCATTTTCATTAAGGTATGCTTGTAACTGGTCATAAATGATTCGTTCAAAGATTTTGCTCACAGCACTTAGAACAGAAGTTAGTAAAAGATCTTTTGCATCTCCTTTATGAAGTGGCTTAACTTTTGCAATTTTCCAATCATCTGGAAATACACCAGTTGCTATTGAGCAGTTAAATAAGTTGCATAATGAGTCTGATATCACTGACGCGGCACATTTTAACAATTTAGCCGGAATCTCATCAAGACCCATTGCTTTTCCTTCCTGTAATGAAGAGAGTAACTTAAAAACAGCACTTGGTGTTGTCAAATGTAACGTGAAAACCTTATCCGCTTGTTTTAAATAATCACCAAAACCGCAATTATTGAATTCATCCGGTTCATCAGATCTCAATTTCAACCCAATTTCCGCAAAATGATTATTAAAACACTCTGTTAAGTCAGCTGAGTCACTGATCACTCTATCATTGCACGTAAGATGAGAGATCTCATCTGACTTAGCATTACGAGACATTAGCTCATTGATTGATTTCCAAATTTCTTTTGGATTTCCTGAATTTGTTTTAAAATATTGATGGTAATAATCGGTTTTTGCTTGTCTAATTTTATTATTGCACATATTTCTCGCATCTTTGAATTTTTTCCAGTCAGCTGAATTTTTTGACACCACCGCTAATTTCTTAAGTTGTTTTAGATTTGCATTCAGCCAGGGAATTTCTAAGCCGTTTACGTTTTAATGGAGCGTGATTATCAACAACATTCATAAACATCGATTTCCACAATTCCCATCGGTCATTTGCATTTTCAAGATTATCAACAAGTGACCATGGTAAACTGGTTAATTCATTTTTGAATCTATCAATGTTGAAGTTTTTCATGGATCTAATATTAACAATGCGATGCCTGCTCTTAGTTTTGATAGCGACTTTGCGCACAACGTAAACCACACTAAGATCCATATCCGGATCGCTTTCGGGTGGTCGGTAACTTACTACCATGGCAAATGGTTTACTGTTTGGCTTTATAATATCAATCACAATGGTTTCTGTGTCATCGGACATAACATCGCACCGAACCTTGAAATTGATGTGATTTTTCAAATATATACAAACTCCCCCACCATATCGGTTTCGGTCTTTCCTAATCAATTGATAATTATCAAGTTTAACATGATTGTCAGTTAAATCTCTATCTAAGCATGTTTCATTCAAATTAACAATGAGTGTTCTGAATGTTCTTGCTGAAATTACTAAACACTTAAGAAATTGAACTTTGAATTTTTATTAAATATAAATTATTTATGGTGTATTACATAAGATAACATTAGGTCATTCTAGAAAACATCTGATGTTCCCCCAAAAGAGAAAAAAATGGAAATGGATTCCATTCATGTTTGGACATCCTACAATAATTGATGTTAATCGATATAAAATTTTACATTCAGATGGCACATATTTCTTCTGAGCTAGGGTGAGTTTGAATATTTACCGGAATGACCATTATTAAACATGACAGTGATTTGCATTTGACAAATTATATTAATTACAAATGCTTAAGTTAAAGCATAAAATATACATAACAATATTTAATTGTAAATATTTGCATTTCCTTGTTATAATGCAGTGGTAATAAATGGTCTTGGTTAATTACACTAACTCGGTTTCTTTTGCTCCACAGGCTTTTCCTCAAAATTAGCCAGGACATTTTTGCATGGAAATGATTAAGAATTTACTGGATTTTCAGATCAAGAAACTGCCACACATCATTTTACCTAAATTTTTAAGTGATTGCCATGTGCATTATGTACAGTAAATAAAGATTTCTTGTATAAACTGCCTGAAAACAAAGAACTGCATCACTCAAGCTAACAAGGTGTCAATGACCCCCACTTTAATGATTGGACCCCCAGCCGGCCCTCAAAATGATTTATATAAATTGTTATCTGATCCCCCAAATTCAGGCTTTTGAGTATTTAGAATGCCTGTAACCTTTGTATTTCATCTTTTAGAATATATTTACACATTGCAATTTCTCTGGCCAATTTCAGGTTTTGCTGAATGTTAACCCATTAAGTTACATTCCACCCTAATTTATTATTTTACTCTGTCTAATGCCAGACAATTTTACTCATCAGGGAAAGAGTGCTGGCACTTCATGGGTCAAAGGCAAATATTTTTGGCTTGCAATTGACATTAACCACTTGTAGACCAGACATCCTCAACATCCCAGCATCATGTCTTTTTACTTTTAGAAGTAACAACATGAAAAACATTCATAAACTATAAATATTCATAACAAAGGGCTATACCATAAATATGAGTGAGAAAAAATATAAATATAATACAGTTAAAATAAAAGCAAAAGAAAACAATTCTACCTATTGGGCCATAAAGATTTGACACAAGGGTATGCAAAACATCATAAAACTACACATAAGCCCTCCATTCCTGTTGCTGTTCTGTTAGGGCAAACAAAACGATCCGCAATACTTAACGCTTCTGCCAAAAGGGGAAGATCCTCCAAACTAACTCTGAAATCGGCTTTGCACTCATCGTTCGTCATGTTTTGAAGTTGAGTGTCAACTTTTTCATACTCCCAATATTGAAATTCAGGTGATTTATTCCTGGTCTGTTCATATACAGCAGCAAACTCCCATTCATCAATAACATCATTTACAAAAAGGGCTGCAGCTGCATCAAGAAGTGATTTATTGCTAATAGCCACAAGAGTATTGTTGTAGTCATTGACCCGTCACAATTTATGTTTGTTTACTGCTAAATCAACATTTGAACGGAAACAAGTACGACTACGACTTCCTCGCGCCAGGACGCACGCAGTCAAATCTTGTACTCACTGCTAAAGCTCTCTATTAATACTTGTGGGGAAAAAAAGAACAAGAATATTAAAATAAAGCTGACAGAATTCAGTCGGTTGATCAACTTCTCCAATGGAACTTAAATTAATTTTGTTAAACAATCTGCTGGCATTTCTTAACTATTCCACTGCTTTTGAAAGTGCCAATCATTTGGTATTTTCTAAAGTGCTTTCTTCATCATATTGCAAGCCATCAACAAGTCTGTAGCCATGCCTAGAAAGACTCGCAGCTTGACTACCTATCAATCAAGTTGGCAACTTGTTTGACCTTTTAACTTCGACACTGTAATGCTTCTTAATATTAGATGCTAAGTATTGCCAGACCGCATCCATACACTTTGTCTGTAGATGAATCTAGTGTGGCAGGGTAGGCTTACTTTTAAGTGTCACAGATAAATTCGCTGTAGCTTGTTCCTCTGAAAGGTTTATACGCTCTGGTATAGCAATCTCAGACAGAGTTAATGTGTCTTCTGACATAGAATCATTTAAATCAGCTGGGTTTGTAATCTGATCCAAAGTTTCCAAATGATTACTATGTTCAAGACCAATAGGAGCTGATCATATTTTAATGAACTGCTGGAACATGTTACACTTCAAACATTTGCAGTAAATTAAATGTAATAAATGCTGCCATGATTAATTTCACAATGCAGTGGATCTGGTCTCTATTAAAACATTCCTTTATGGCTTTTTTTACCTTTTAGACCAGAATAATTTACTCGTTTGCCCCCCTCCACACCCCAAAACAATGTTGGACGTTTTATTCGTATTCTATGAATGCAATCAACATTGAATGGTGGGGGAAAGGGGGAGGTTTTCTAAATTTACAATAACATTACAACATTTTGGCAAGTAATTTGAAGTGTTGCAGATGTTTTGTCCAGGATTGTCTGAAATCAGTCGAAATTATATTCTTTTATATTTCGCTCTTTAAACATTTCCTTGCCATGTATTTCGTTTATGCGCATTGCTTACAACCTACTTATCATCTATATGTTATACATTCAGTCTATATATAAACGAATGTGTGTGATATTCAGTACAACACCAAGGGACAATAAATTCAATATAGTTATGTTTCTGGTATTTACTGCATATACTTAGAATATTAAGTGACAACTATATAAATGTGAATTATGCATTTTGAAACGAGTTTTCCAGGTGTGCCGGTAAATCAATGCTCAATTTTTCAGTGTCACACCTAACAGTGTACCACGTCCAATGCACTAAGACTGTGATAATATTCCCAGTTATAGGGGTAATACAAACCAATGAAATGGACTTGAAAGAACGTGTGTTGCTTAGTATTCCAACCTACTTCAGGCAATATTTAACGCGATAATTTTAAAATATTCCACGATGTACCATTTTAACCCTACAAAAGGTTATATATATATATATATATATTCTTATATGTTCACACTGTACCATGGTACACCGTCAATGCGCATGCGCTATTATACGAAAATAACAAAATCAGATTAGTCATTTAGCGCGGCGGTCACGCAATATATTTCCAGTCAACAACTAAGCGTTTGTCTGTCTAACAACACAAATAAATATGAATTAAAGTATTTTAGAATATTCTTAGTGCAAAATAGTTGGTATATACATTACTAAGTACATTACTAAGTACATTGACTTGCTCTCCAACGTATATTAAATGCGCGAAAGTCGTCGCATATGATTCTTAATCGCATTCTTTACAAGCTATTGAAGCATAGCGTTGCATGTGGGTGTTATATTACCTTGTCGACCATGTGGTAACTGCTTCTTGAAGCCTAATACATTCTAGTGAACCATATTTACTATGGAAAGAGAAAATCCTGCATAAAACTCGATTTTTAATGCGCTATGCCTTGGTCATTGAATTTGAAAGATACAGACAATCCTGGACAAAACCATGTGCAACACTCTATTAAAACATTCCTTTGTGGCTTTTTTTTTTCCTTTTAGACCGCAATAATTTACTCGTTTGCCCCCCTCCACACCCCCAAAACAATGTTGGACGTTTTATTCGTATTCTACGAATGCAATCAACATTGAATGGTGGGGGGAAAGGGGGAGGTTTTCTAAATTTACGATAATATTACGACATTTGGCAAGTAATTTGAAGTGTTGCAGATGTTTTGTCCAGGATTGTAGGTGTCCCAAGTTGGCGCATCCCATTTTCAGCCATAAAAGGAAGCATTTTCTCATGAAGATTACTGCTTTTAATATTGGTAGGTAGAGAACTAATACAAACATTTACCTTCTTTGCATGCTCAGCACACAGGTCGTTTGTGTACGGTGTTCAAGTATCGTTGTAATCGAGATACTTGTGCCCCTAGAATACACATATTTTTGTGCACACTTGCATAGGGACAAAGGTGTGTAGCTGCCTGGTTCAGTTAATTGCAGGCCAAACTTTGCCAGCTCATGTCAGCACTTCGCTGAAACTCAACTGTGCACTCCTTCCCACAAACTGTGAAAACACTGGACTCAAGCAGCTGCATCTCATCAGTATGCTGTCTCCAAAGAAGCTCAAGCATTGCATGCTCAGGTGCATTAATGCATGGCTCCAATTTCGTAAGGAGTGGGGAAATAGGAAAAATCTTTAAAAATTAATTAAAAATTAACAAAGTACACTATGACTCTCATTTTTGGGTGAGATGTTGGAAATCAACTGCCGATATTTTTCAACTATTTGGTTTACATGGAAACTGGTCATGTGACATGATATAGGCAGTTATAATGGAAATTAACTTAATGTTTTAAAACACGGCTTGCCGACACACTAAACATTCATGGATATGTACAAGAATATTCTCACAGAACCTTTTACTCTTATACTGCAATGCTGTAATCAGAAACTTGAAGATTATGCCACAGACATGAAAATATTGCTATGAATACAACAATGTCTTGGACAATGTCAATATAATTTGCACTAAAACGATCGTTCCAGATTATAATGCTTACAAGTCTAATTGTAGGACCAAAGTTGGCTGTAATCTGGACAAAATCTACGTATTAACTACCCACATTAACGTTGTCTTATGTGTCGGCAAGTCCAACGCATTTTTCGCGTGATGAATTCGCGCACGCCATAATCATTATAGGCCCCTGCCGTGAAACAAAATATTATGAAATACAAATATACATACAATATTACAATGACTAACTACTAAGTAATGCATTCAAATAGTATGCAAGGAACAGAGAGAATAATATGTACAGAAGTACAATATGATAAGTACATATGTTCGTTTATATATTGAACAGAATATTTGACAGAAGTCTGAGTCTTTTATATATGAAAGGATATTTAAGGATATGAAAGGATAAGAACATTTATTGCGCCCTTAATAAGAGTTTTAAGAGAAATCAGTGTCACACTTAAACATCACCACCCCAAAAAAGTTTGAACCATCCATATGCTGGGTACTTATTTGTATTTCAAATATTTTTCTGTGTGTGGGAAACTTAAGAGAAATCACAAATCAATGTTGAATAATTCAGACATAAAAATCCGCAATAGCGAACTCAGTATATATCAAAGTTCAAAGGTCGCCACATATCGCATATGATGTATTATACTGTACAACGGCCAATTGTACAAGAAAAATTAATAATTTGCTATCCCTGCTGGTTGCTATAATCTAACATAATCCAACAGCTCATATTTATAATTTATTCAGTTTCAGTTTCATTCGAACACCAAAACGCACTAAAATAGCAACACGCTAGGTATGTTTAATCGCGTGCCAACTCGCATGGAGATATCAAGTCAAGCGTGGGCAGAGTCAAGCAAGAGCCAAGCATTAATCGGCCTGAGTGGTTTTCGCCAAGGCTGACACAATGAAGTAGGTACTGAAATTCCCTACTTCTAACCCTTTCCCCAAAATTCCACCATGTTATACTACCTATTGACATTGTGAGCTGGCTTGTTTCAGGGGCAGCGTCATTAGAAAACAGGAAAATGAAATGATTGGTATTTTCATTGAACCAAATAAGTTGCCGAAAAGGATGTGGCAATCGTAAATGCAAATCAGTAATCATGAATACAAGGCCAGTCAGTGATGGTCCTAGTGACCCAGGTGCATTTGGAATTTGACTAATACTACCTTATATCTAATGATTTTACAAATTTATCAATTTTGTCATCAGACACTCGACTAAGCAACAACTCAACATCTACCCCTAAGCACTTAATATTTTGTGGTAACCATACTTTCAGCATCAGGATCAAACACAGAAGACTGTTTTACACATTAAATTAAATTTACATCGAGACAAAAAATTCTGAGACTTAAAAGCAAGTGCTTGATTTAGGGAATCCTTGGACTGCTTATGATCATTCATGGCTTTGTTGATTACCCCTTGTAAGTATTTTTCCCTTTTATACTTACTAATCAAGCTGTCCATAAGTTCTTTGTCTGCATGGGCTGTTACAAAATCCCAAGCTCCAAGTACTGCTGGAACCTCGCCACCATGGATGTATTCAAGTACATTCTTGGTCTTGTGTCGTCATCTGTAGCGACAACGGTCACTGATCATATCGATGTTAGTTTTGGTGTTTTGTCTTTGTGTACAAGCATACCCTTTCTGGTCCATCAAGGTTTTTAATTTAACATATTCCTGTGAAATATTCTGCAGGTGTTGCTGAATTTCCGCAACTTCTCCATCAACTTCCTCTTGTCGTTCGATAGATGCATTTAAATCATCATCTAAATTAAAATTATGGAAACAATTATTCCAGTTTACATGCATGCACTGTGTGCAAAAATTTAAATCTATGAACTTAATTGGATTTAATTAAATATGCTTATATGCATGAATAGAGACAGACCGATAAAAATAAAAATAAAAAAAAAAAAAATTATAAATATGATCTTGATACTTGCTGATAAATTAGGAGTTCCAGATATTATTTGCTGCATCATGCATGTATATTGAATTTATCTCAGCTAATGGCAGATAATTTACTTCTCAAAGGTAAAATGCCAGCTGGTAATTGGTTAGCTGGACACTATAGCAACAGTAAAACACTACAGCAACAATTTATGCCTTTACAGTTTATGCTGTTTATTCAGGAGCCAGGCTGGCCAGGTACAGGTAACCGGCTTCAAAGAAATGTATAGTAAAAATTCCTGTGTGTTTAAAGATCTTCTTTGCAACAGCTGAGATCTCACTTACCGGGATGAGACCCCCCCCCCATATAAACACACACAAGCGGGCTGGCCTGGTTGCCACCATTCAAAACAACAATTAGAACAAAATTTATTGCAGGTTAAACGGTTCAAGGAAGTACTAATTGGGCAAATATTGTTTTAAAAATGTTTTAAAATAAACGCAAACAAGGGCGCTAAAGACAGGGTATTTTAACCGCTCCGAAAATCACAGCTAGGAGAGTGGAAACTAACAACACTTGCAATTTGACTCTGGGAGCAAACTGCATAGCAACCAACCATCATGACAAGCTTAGTATTAAATGTACTCGAAGAAGGTATATTTCTATTCGATAATGCATTGGCTGTAAATGCCAAAAGTCAAACGATGTTGTGTATTGAAAAGGCGTCCGTTTTCATTTTCCTTCAAACATTGACACTGATCTCTATCGATGTTGTGAACATAGTCGTCTAACATTTCAATGTCGACTTTGCTATCAAGACTGCTGTGATTGGTGTCTGTAGGTTCTTCAATGTTGCTTGTGTAGAACATGTTAACGTCAGCACTGCTGTTTTGTTCTCAGTCATCGGCATATGTGATAAAGAGGGTGACACTATAAATCTGGATTGATTTCTTTTCAGTCGTGAAACTTGCAAGTAACCACTGAATCCATGCTGCAGGTGAAATCACTATCATGCATGTTATCTTTATACATGTAAGATACTGCTCGACCAAACACATTCCCAAAGAATTCTGTTAATATTCAGTTACCAGAATGGGTATTAGAGTTGCATCTGTAATTAATTACATTCTTTCCTCATATTCATCAGCTTTGTTTAATTCAGTGTCACTAAGATCTGATTCCGTACAGTGAGAGGTGACATTCATAAATTAATTTTTGGGGGCTACAACTTTTGTTTGCAGTGTTGGCTGTCTACAGACCGACTTTTCCCAGGCTACCTTTTCATGAACATTGAACTATCTTTTCTCCAAATCATTCGTAGTCTTTTTTTATCCACTTGAATTTCCCCATAATACTCTTGTGCGATTGATTGCCACATGTTCGTTTTACTTTTAGAATCTACTCCCATTCTTTCAGCAACAATTCCGCAAATTTGTTGACATTGAATGATTAAAAAAACCGGTCTTTTTGGTTTTCCATGCCCACCGCCCAACAAAACCGATTTATCACTTTCACTGTTATTTCCCAATTTTTGGCTCCATTTTGGTAATATTTCTTCCTCCACTTTGCACAATAAATACACTTTCTAGCTGAGTGACAATTTTTTACACTTTGCCTGCCTGAAGGACATGAAGATCGATGTTGCTGAAAATTTGAACATACAATATGCTTATGTGATCAACTATTATGGGAGCAATCTTATGCCAGTTTGCCATGTTTTAATTTAGACAACTTTATTTGTGAAAAACAAGTTATGACCTTTTGTTAAGAACCTAGAAATAATCCATTTTAATCTCTTGTAACTATGTTACACTTAAGTTCTTTGTATGTTTGCATGGTGATAAAATATAATAGGTTTTGTTTGTGGAAACACCACGTAAATTTATTACTGCAAAGCTTTCGATCCGTAAGCCCGGATCTTCATCAGTGCTAATAATATGTGACTTGTTTAATTCACACGCTCTTTTTATATACAAGAGTGTCGTGATCTGTTGGCTCGCGTCATTTGAAATTTAATTAAACGGCACATCAACCACGTCATTCCAAACGTAGTGAAGTGATTCCAATTAACGCGCGCGCATCCAAGACAAGAGAAATTAATTTTGCACATTAAAGAGAGCACGCCACGTACTATCTAGTGGCTTTCCCTCCTGATCTATAGTATTGTGCTTCTCAATTTCAATTGACTCTCTCATTTTGCGAGAGAACTTGTGACTATCAATCGCCAAAATGGTTGCTTCGTCCCATTTTATACGATGGTCGTAAGTCCAAGTATGTTTAGCCACAGCAGATTTATCTTGCTCGGCTTTCTCGCAATTCGTCTTGTGTTCCTTAAGACGTACTGAGAGATTTAAGACGTACTGAGAGCGTGTGAATTAAACAAGTCACATATTATTAGCACTGATGAAGATCCGGGCTTACGGATCGAAAGCTTTGCAGTAATAAATTTACGTGGTGTTTCCCACAAACAAAACCTACTATATGTTACACTTCTTAACATTTAATTTAATACATATGCTTTTTTGTTGAGGGTCGATGGTGGGAGGTCAAGGGTTCAATGTCAAGGATCAAGATGCAAAATGAAATGTAATGCTGATTACTTGAGAATACAATAAGATGAAATTCTTGAGCATCCAGTGAATGGAATTGCAGTCATTAATTTCACCAACGGTCAATTTGCCAATGTCTCGGATCGATTCGCCAACATATATAAGACATAGATATAAAGTGTATGGCACTTATGGAAAGCAGGTATTTTTTATTTTTATATAATTATTTCTATCTGTAGAGCCAACTGTAATTTTTAGTTTGTAAAATGTAATTACTAATTAGTTAAGTGTACCATATATGTAAATCCTGATAAGTTCACAGCATGCGAAATTGTCTATTCTTTTCTATTCTAATGTATTCTGTACAGCACAAATACTGTTATCTTACTAGCCAGGAATTATCTTTGAACCACATCATGTATAGATTTATTTCATCACAGGGAGCTCAGGGGGATTAATGCATGGGTCCAGGTTAATATTGCTTTGAAAACATTAAAATTGCCATAATATATCACTGAATGTACCTTTTGCGGAGAAATTAACAACACTATACAACATCAGTAAGAGCTTTAGAATTAACACTTTATGTTTCCATGGAAACGTGTCACGTGATATTTTTCCCCATTTTAAAGGGAGAATTCCTTACCATATTTTCAGTGACGCTGCGGACAAGGAAAATAGTAATAAACGATTCAGCATTTTCCCGTCTGAAAGACTTTAGTGTATGATACTTGCGTTCCTAACTTGCTATCCTAAATCAGATACGTTTTTGATCTATATAAATTAATAATACGTTTAGGAGTTCATATATTGCGTAATATCTTGAAGGAATTTCTTGCCGTTTAAGCGCAGATTTACTAAATGTGCGAAAAGCTAGTTTCGGTACAAAAATATATGTAAATATGAATGTCCGTATATGTTTAATGTTAACAAAAAGTTAACCATCCCTGTCCGCAAGCAGAATGAAAGTTTCCGTACAATTTGTCGAAAAGACGCCATCTTGACTTTGAGCCTGCAATACGCAATACAGCGGTAAATGCAAAAAGCAAAACAAATTCGACGGCGCGAAATTTGAATATTTCGCGCAATTACACAATAAAGTACACGTTGTATAGCTTCTAACACGCAAACAAGAGAGTTTTTTACAGTAATTTAATCAATGTTATATTCTTTATTTAAATATGAGTGGTTCATAATGGTCGTAAGTCTAATTCATCCCAATACTTGTGGATTTGCCAAAGTAATTGCTTGGCAGCTGGAAAAATCAACAGCGTCAACAGCAATACGGTCGGACGGAGAATCATTACCAAAATTTCGCTCGCGAATATCAAAGTTACACTACGAAAATTTTATTGAAGCTTTCAGCGAGTGCAAAGAGAACTACTCAATTAGCTTTGCGACTTTTCAGAAGAGGTTTCAAGATCTCCATACAAAATTTGTCAAATGGAATTCCCGTAAAATCAACGAGCGTGTGAAATATCTTGCTACTTTTGAGACGGAAAAGTGGAAAAAACTTCCATCCTCAAAGAAAGCTGAACATAGTTTACAGGAGTGCCGTGGATGTTCTCACAGCTACAGCTATGAGCAGTCTCTGTTTCCTGTCAAGTCCAAGCAATTTAACAATTGTCAAGACAAGAATAACTTTGTAACAGCAACACAGACCGCTAATGACGTGGGTGAATCGAAAGCAAAGGTGAAATGCAAAAAACGCGAGGTGACCAAGGCAGCTAGGGAACTGTATGCACAAATTAACCCGCAATTTCAGAAAATATGTCGGGTTCCTTTGGCTCAAGCTTTAGTTTCTGTTCCAGAATTGCAACTCCAGCAGAAGAAATCTAAAACTGAAATGAAGAAAGAAAAAAGGGACTGTTACAGGAAGGTAAAAGCACGGATTGAAGAGGAATGGAAGGAAACAGATATTTTAAGGTTAGTAACGCTGTACATGCATGAAATAATAGTCATTCACCTAAAAAGTTAAATCATGTCAAATTTGTTACACTTAGGTGTTTTGGTAACAGACAGTCGTTGAAGTCGCGTCAGAAAGATCGTCTAGCGCAGGCGTTTGAGCCAAGACTGAGTCCAGAACATTCGCAGGTACCTAAATAAAAAGAAGTCCTGTTGGGATATTTGACAAGATGGCTTGGGACAAAGATGCTCTTAAATCAGAAGTTGAGTCATATGAAGATGGCAAGTTTGTCAACTGGTCTCAACTGGCAAAGGACTATAACGTCACCAACACGAAAGGCGAAATTGCAGCAAATGGCGGCCAGATTGTGAAAGAGTGGTTGAAATCAGTTGGTGTCAATACAGGGAGATTCAAACGATACAACACCAATTCAGATGATCCACGCATTCGACGAAAGAAGAGGAGAGGCCTAGGAGGGGAGATATCCATACCAACGCCGGTAACAAATGCATCTCTGAAAAAACAACTGCACGAAAAAATTATGCAGAATGAGTATTCAATAGGAAAACTAATTGTTCCTAGAAAGGTACCTAATATTTTTATATGTTCTATCCACTAGCATCAAACTGGTAGACAAGTATTGGTGATTTTCACATATTAATTCCATGTCGGTGTAAAAATCCCTTTAAAACAAAGAAAATCCATTGAAATTTATTCTGAGGATAATTTATTTGGTACTTTACCGTTTTTTACCAACATGGGTGCTTTAATATGACGTGAAAAATATCAGTATATAGTTCAATCTGCCCTGGAATTGTACACTTATCAAATCATGTACCTTAAGGTTATCTTGCTCTATACTAATGCCTCATAATTTACTCATTAGTAATGGTGAAGTGTTAGACGTGTTAGATTCTTTGACATTAACAGTGTCATTCACTTGCTGTGCCTGATACCATTATTTTACTATCACTGTCTTTCACCCGACGAAAAAACATGGGCTTTCAAGACCAGGAAACTCGATCTACACTAGTAATAACTACAGTTTATGGGAATGCATTCAGTCTATTAGGCACAAAGTTTAAAGTTTTGGGGAACATAAAGTTGTCATATGCGGCAACCTTTAATTCCCCTTCCCCCAATATTTCACAAAGTGTTTGCCGCAGAGTATATATTAAGTTTGTCTATCATGCCAGATGATTTGTACAGAAGTCTCTTTTTTATTTTTTAGTATGAAAAGTTGACACTTAATGACGATGGTACGATTGTTCAAAGTGAGTTTGTGGTAGAAGGTCGAAAGCAACCTTTGACTGTAATAAGAAAGATTTTTTTGAAGTCCCATGCCAATTATATGAGAACCGTTACAGATGAAGAGCTATGCATGATGTCAGAAGAACAAGTTAAAGAAAGATTAGTTCAAAGTTAATGCTGTGTTCTCAGATTTGGATGATGTAGATACATTAAAAGCAAAGCTGAAAGATATTTCACACACTCGTCATCTAAAAATATGGCATGATCTGTCAACTATCGCCAATCACAGTCACCTAATTTTCATGGTTGCATGCATATATGACCCAGCTTTATTTTACACAAATAAGGAGTTTGAAATGAAGACCAAGAGAAAAGTTGACATTCAAACAATCGTAGAATCGCCTGAAGTTTACATTGTCGCCAGATCGAGCAGTTCAGATGTAGAGCAGCTGTCGTATATAGAAACAAGAGTTGAATGCTTGGAAGAAATTAGCTTGCCATTACCAAATGAAAATGGAGAGGAAATAATTGATATTATGCGTTTCTTTCATGGTGACAACCCAGCCCAGCAATACGAGTGTGGCCAACAAAAGGGGGGCCACTATTACTGTTCCGTCTGTGGAGTACACGCAAACCGTGTGTATGAACTGGATTACAGCTATCGTTGCACGCACATGTCGTTGAGTGACAGACAAAAGTTGATTTTGGAAGGTGCCATTTCTCGGCAAAAAACATTGGCAGGAAATAGCAAACCAGTTCACCAATTGAAGAAGCCTGAGTTACTACAGGAGTTAAATAGTAGGAAGATCTATGAGGGGGAAACACAAGAAGATTTGAAAAGGTTGTTGACTGATGAACTGCATGGGGTTCAGAGAGTCCCAGCTCTTCTCTACACTAATCCATTGGCTAGTTTAGCTTCAATTAACTGCGACAAGTATGAAATATTACCATTTGAACCGCTACATGATGTGGGAAAGCATATTGAAAATATTCTTGTTGAGTTGCCCATGCATGTTTCACCTGAAGAAGCAACAATGATCACTGAAACAATTGAACTCTGCCTTGGAAAGAAAGAAACAAAACGATGCTTTGACTACCGATGTACTCTGATTACGGTTACAAATCGTGTAATTGGCAAGGTTTCCCTGGAAGTACAGAGGCTGTTACAAACCTTGGTGGAAATACAGGCCATCGCATATGGAAGAGATGAGAACCGTTCACCTCAGAGTGTTCTAAGATTCCACAATCTGACATGGCTACATGCATTTCTATGTTGGCAAGTTATTGGCTACCAGACAAAGAAGATGACTTGTCGAAAATTTTATGGCGTCTATTTTCACAAATTATCGGCCCATGCTGCTATCCAAAATCGCCTCATTAGTGGAAAATCTTGTCATGCAGAAGAACAAGAAAGAGTTTTCAATGCAGTTACCAACATCACTCGGTCCACCTCATCCTACAAACCGGATCATATTATTGGGAATGTCTTTCTTCGAATCCAAGCTGAGAAGAAATTGGGGGAGTACCATTCTGAGAATACAATTGATCAGCAGCAAAATCACATTTCCAAACTGGCTAAATCACTTCCCTCTCTTGGCAATACTGTTGTTCCTTTCAGCATTATAACACGTCATTCTAAATCTTGGCAAACTCATTTGGAGAGGATAAGTGACTTTCTTATGTTTGGCAGAGGTGTTTGGTGGACCAGCAATGAAGAAGGTGATGTGGAATTTTTTGACAGCATGCAATCCGGAGTAGATTCAAGATCTGAAGGTCCAAAGCTTCATCATTTTCGATCAAGTAACTTCAAAGAAGAAGAAGACCACCTACATAAGTGCTGGTCTGTGTGCATCGAAAAGAAAATTCTGTTACCTCTTCATGTGCTGCGGTTGAAAGATGCCACTACAGATACCTTTATCCCTACCCAGACCCAGTTCCTGAAGAATCAAGAATTGTCAGATGATGCTTCCAATGATGCCAGTATGGACGATGAAGCAAATAGTGAACACATAGGAGAGATCGCAATTAGTACACCCAAAGAATACAGTCAAAACTGTTTTGACAGTGTTGGTAAAAATGACCATTCTCATGAGGATATTGTTCAATATAACCTGATAATGCCCATGCCTGAAGATGATTTGAGAGAATCAATGTTAGAAGACCCTCCAGTGGACACTGCACATATGACAGCTGGTAAGTTTTAGATAATTAATGTTAACAAAATATATTAGGACATTATAGTTTTGACTGTTATGTACAGTAGGGGGTGCACCGGAAACCAATTTTTTAAGTTCCGGCCGGAACCAGATCTGGATCTGCAATATATAGTCATATGTTACTTTGTCTGCTGCCAGAAAAGCAGACACTTCAAGTCATCAAGGAGAAAGCTCGCAAATGGTAGAATAAAAAGATTGACAAATGTTAAACGTCATAATGAAGTGTTAATTGTGTATATTTTCCTTGTGTAACAGTCAAAATTTCTCCCTACTGTGAACTTTTGTCAGACACAAAAACGTTTGATATTCTGAAAATAACAGAGTTCCGGTTTCGATCATGCTTTTTTATTAGTTCCGGCCAGAACCAGAGCTCTGAAAAATAGGGGTTCCGGTGCCCCTCTACTGTTATGTTCTACCATAATATTATGATAACAATCATATTAAAGCTGTTCTTTCATATTTAGCGCAAGAGGATGTTCAAGCTGTAAATGGCACAAGTGAAGCTCAAATCAGCAAAGACCCTTTAAGTGCTAATAAAGAACAATGGCACACTAAATTGGGCTCAACCCTGGCATATGTTCTTGGAAATACAAATGAAGTCATTGAACTTGATCATGTCAGAAAAAAGGCCAAGGACCAACGACAGGATAAGTTTTTGCTGGATAGCTACATGTATAAACTTGCGGTGATTCAAACAAAAGTGTCAAAGAAGAAAAGAGAGTTGGAGAAAAACATTGAGGATTGGGAAAAAAATTATTTTATGTCCAACAATAGGTTACCAACATATGACGAACTGATAGCAGATTCAGTCATAAAAGAAAAACTAAGACAAATAAAAACTGCCAAAGTCATTATGAAATTAAAGGGATGATATAAGAGATCATCATGTGTACTGTATTAATGTGTATTAATACAATATAATTTGTACAGTATTTACTCAGTAGCTTTTGAATAAATCCTAACCTTGAATAAATCCTAATTAAAGTTTAATAATACATGGGACAATTTAACTTCTCACAATGTATAATATATTGTTGCCAAGCCAGTACAGTGCACCCTACCTATAAATAGGGCCCCGAAATTGAATGAGACCTTAAAAATATAAAATTGAGCGTAATTTCCCACCGAGAACAATTTGTCCTGGGCCCAGAGAATTCTCTCAGCGGCCCTGAAACCAATCTCGTACCCAGAGCCATCGTCAACGATGGCTCTGGGTACGAGATTGCCCTGAAACCAGTCGACAATATTTTTATTTCAAATTGTCATTCAAAATTGTCTCGTGCACGTGCAACATTGCATTTTTAGTAAATGGACAGCCAGGACAGAAGTAAATTTTAAATCGATAGCCTGTATAAATGCACAGGATAAATGTAAAATATTAAGTTAACTGAAATGTAGACTAACCTGATATGTTCCTTCAGCCTTGTAAATATTTTTTATGCATAATAAACAAGAAAAATGTATTATTTGTTCAGTTTGTTGCCTTTAAACTATTAATTTCAAAACGCTTCCCATTTTTAATCATGGTGTTGCCATGACAATTATTTAAACGGCATTCTATATTTTGGTCACAAGCATTACCACCACCCCCCCCTGTTTTACGCAAATATGGCTTTGATGTCCAAATTGGGCAGAATTACACTCGCGGTATTTTTATAATTTCAGTGCTGCAATTTTTTTCAAACGCAGAGATATAAGCTGAATAATGGTGCATTCTGTTGAGTACAGAAGAAAATTAAGAAATTCTAGGAAGAAGCGAAAACGAGCTGAACGATCAATTGCGCGATTCAAGGTTAAAGGAGAAGCGGAGGTAAAAAAAAGAGTAGATGCTACAGTCAGCTTAATTCGAAATGATTTCGAAAAGCAGAAACGTATTGCCATCAAATATTATAATAAGTGGAAGCAATGTATGCTCATTGTCAATAAGACTACATCTTTAAAGGTAAACAAGCACATTAATATACGAGGATAGAGATAGGGTTTTGTACATTGACTACCACCACTGAGTACTACCAGTGGTGAATTTAGGGAAGGGGTGCAGGGGGGTGCGCCCCCCCCCCAGGCTCTGGTCAACAGGGGTGCATGGGGAGTGCAAAAATGGCGTTTATCCTAATTCTAACCAACTTATGTTAAGGAATTCAGTTGGGTATCACTAATTGACAATAGCGGAATAGCCAATATTAAATATTCTGAATTTTTAAATGTTTTGAGAATCTAAAAATTTTCCAGAATGTTTTCTCATAATGGTAGAAATGCCATTTCAGAGACCCAAATTTTAAAAATTTTCACGCCTTTGGCGCTCGGCTGGTGGTTTCGCCATTGGTTAGCACCCCCCAAAAAAACTTTGCTGGATCCACCACTGAGTACTACAGTCTACTCCTTTCAACAAAAAATCAATAACTTTCTTGAATTTGGCACCAACATGGCCACCATGCCATTGTCTTCTAATTCTCAACGGATTGATTGCAAGTCAAGAATTAAGGGCAGGGGAATGTAGGGGGTGGTGGTGGCGGGGGACTGTGCCAATGGGCTTGCTGAGACTGCTTTACTATTTTGGTACAATATGCTATGCTGAAATTGAGTATATTTAACATTTTGTATAAATTTAATTACAAGAACAACCTAGATTTTACTTGATTTTTACTTGGTAACTTGGGGATTGGCAATGGTAGCTGATAAGGCCTATGGAATTGAAATATCAGTTTACAGCAACCCACAGTCACCTGCCTGTGCAAGTCTTAGACCCCACATTAAATTTTCACTGTTTCATATTTTTCAATTATTTCTAATGCTAGTTAATTTAAATACTTTAAAGGGGAAGTCAAGTCCGTTCTGCGCATTGGTTCTGCGCATAACAATGTGAGGACCTCTAATGTAAAAATTGTCCAAATTTTGAATGTTTCGAATTTTTCTGAACATAAACTTTATTTCATATTCATTTAGAAGCATAGCGAACCAAAATGGTGTTAGATATTCAGACAGTACATCATATTTTAAAAAATACAGCAGTTCAAAATGTAAACAAACCATTTGTTTACATTACAGACTTGACTTGCCCTTTAATAGTTAACTACAAACATGCTGAAATCCTAAATTAAAACATGAATATTGTGTAAAAGATAGATTTAAGATGATGTACAGTCTGTTTGTGAGAGATTGGTATTACTGTATATTTAATTTTGCTAATTTCAATTGTAATAGGCTTCAACAGGAATGCAACAGCAAAAATGGATTCCAAAAATTGAGCCAGATGAACTGGAAGATGCTTCACCATGCATTGGCTCTGGAAGCTTTGGGCAATGTCGCACATGGTACTACTCACGATTTGGTATACATGTTGTTGAGAAAATTATACCAGATTTAAGTGAGAGTTCTGTTTATCAAGAAGCACTCTATCAGCAAATGTTTGCACATAGATGCGTGCCTTATATTTTTGGAATTAACAGTGCCAGAAAGCCATACTCTTTATTTATGGAGTTTGTTGGAAAAGATTTGCAGTCACTGACAGTACACAAACTTTTATATGATAACCAATCCATGAAACTCATTGGAGGTATGTCGGTGCTAGACTGGTTCAGAGTATGTTACGATATTGCTGATGCATTGCATCACATCCATGAAAAAGGATATCTTCATTGTGACATTAAAACAAACAATGTTCTTGTGTCCCATAAGAAATCTGGGTATCTGATTGACTTTGGCAAGGTGAAACCAATTGCGAATCCACCAGCAAAGAAGTATGCAAAGGCTAACAATTACATTGCTCCAGAGGTTTTGACGGGTAAGCCACCAAGTCCTGCAAGTGATGTATATTCGTTTGGAATAATTATTAAGGCCATTGGCGAAACCATTGAAGATAGCACATTGCTTGAACTTGGAAAACAAGCCTCGTCTGAAATGCCTACACAAAGGCCAAGCACACTACGACTTTTGTCAGCTTTAAATCCATATATACAGGCAGCTAGTGCACCTAATATGATACAAGAAAAGCTTTAATGGGTAATCGCTCAACTAACAAATAAATTAAATGTTGCAAATAAATTTATTTAATTAGGGTAATTTTACAAGCCATGGTTAAACTGTATAATTCTACTTTTTAAAGGATAGTTTTAAACCCATACTGTAACTAAGACTTTGACCTTAGTCTAAAGTTAGCACTTCTAAGTTGTTAACTAAGGTACTGTATGATGTGTTTTTGAACATAGCTTGATTGACAAAATTTCTTGTCTCTTGGCAATCAGTTCAGGTTTTTGCGGCATGGTTAAACTGCACAAATTATTTACAAACATAAACCCATTACCAACACTTTCTATATGCAAAGTTTAAACGTCTAAGTTGTCAAGATACAATTTATGTGTCTTAATTTCGGCAGCTGATTGTCAAAATATTCTTGTCTTTTGGCAATCAGTTCAAGCTTTGCAAAAATGTAAGCTCGTAACCAACACTACAATTACTGGTATGTGCAAAGTTAGAACTTCTAAGTTGTCAAGATACAATGTGTCTTTGGGCAACTGATTGTCAAGATATTCTTGTCTTTCGGCAATCAGTTCAAGCTTTGCAGAATGTAAGTTCATAACTGGACAACACTACAATCACTGGTATGTGCAAAGTTAGAACTTCTAAGTTGTCAAGATACAATGTGTCTTTGGGCAGCTGATTGTCAAGATATTCTTGTCTTTCGGCAATCAGTTCAAGCTTTGCAGAAATGTAAGCTCATAACCGGACAACACTACTGTACAATCACTGGTATGTGCAAAGTTAGAACTTCTAAGTTGTCAAGATACAATGTGTCTTTGGGCAGCTGGTTGTCAAGATATTCTATGTCTTTCGGCAATCAGTTCAAGCTTTGCAGTTAAAAATTGCATAGTTTAACTATGAAAACAATATATTTCTAAACAATCTTATTTTCTGTGTATTTAACAAGACATGCCAATCAATAGCGAGAGAAGATTGCGAAGATGCAAATCAAAATATAAAAAAAGATACAAAGGCCTCGTTTTAAATTGTTTTAAATGTCATGATTGAGCTGTTCTGGTCAAGACAATGTCTAAACTTTTCAATATGTACATGCAATACCCTGATTTATGTAAAATATTCTCCATTTATATATAATTTGCTACTTTGTCTATCAGTCAGTAGATGTATATTTTCAGCGTTTTGGAGAACATGTAAAGAATTAATTATTATTTGCTTGAATAAAGATTTTAAATGCTGTGGGGATTTTGTCCCCACTTGTGTTGTGTTTTATTTTGCATGGGGCCAAGTAAATACAAATGTCAAATATAGAAGCAGAAGCTCGAAAAGACAAAAACACAGGCACAGCAGTGAGTATATAGATAAATTCACATTTTAAAAACGGGCAATTTAACCTATTTAGGGCAAAGCAATAAATAATATTCTAGCAAATAGCTATAAATATAATAAATATATATTCTACATAGCGTCAAATTCGCACTATGACTTTGAGAATCCACAGTATACAGAACACAACAAATGCTTACCTTTTTATGTAGGTCACGCATACGTCTCCAAAGTCTTTAAATACAACTAACGAAATATTCCTTTATAATATTTATACTTTTATATTAAAGTCTTATAGTAAGCAGTATTAAATACACTCCTGAGGCAAGATGGGCTTCGTGGGTGACCTGATCCAACAAACAACCGCAAAAAATGTCGCAAAACTGTCGTGTCCGCGCGTATTTACCTGGGGCGAGTACGAAACTGGAGACATTCATTAATCTACCTGAGAGGTCGGTTTTTATTTCATCACAGGGAGGCTGGTTTTCAGCCTGATTTCTTGGTAAGTCAAATACAAAATAAGTACAAAATTTATTTACTCGTATTTATTTACAAAATTTATATGTCTACATAATGGAGCTTTAATATAGAATGATATTATATTTACATACAGTGTAACCACTGCATGATCATATAAGATCACTCGCAAGGTGTCCATGTCTATGTGAAAGGATGTATACGGAAATGGTAATTAGTTCCTTCAACTATGTGAGCAACTGTATAGATCACTGTATTTTATATATGTGAGAATCATAAACCAAGGCTTATATACAGAGTGTTTCAAAAAACTATAAAATTTGATTTACAGCCAAAATCAGATTGCTTAATTTTCTCTGCACATGGTTGCAAATTTCGATTTTACTGGTTTTACTGTATTTAGTAGTCTCAATCAGAGGCTTTGTTTACAAACCTGTTTGTGAAGTTTGGAACAAACTTTGACATTTTATTCTCGTTGTTTGTCATCATGCACATTCAAAATTTTTGGCTTGAATTCCCAAGTATGCACAAAATAAAACAACAAATATGTATATTGCAGTACAATACTTTTAAACTTATTGTATATTTAACTTAGGAAGCATTGATATATACGGGGATTTTTATGTGTGTCTGTAGACCTTTGGAATTATATAAACATGAAGCAGAGTATTAAGGCTATAGTCTATTTCGAGTAATTAGGTAGAGTGATATACTGTAATCCATTTCTTGTGATAGAAAACTACAATCCTGGACAAAAGTGTTGGGACACTCAACCTTTTCCACCCTTGAATTCTAAAGACAATGCTCCCGTCCCCTCCCCTCCCCTCCCCCACCCAAATTCAATGTTGAAAGTTCCTACAATTTTAGTTAAGGATGCCCCCAAAATCAACATTGAACAGGGGAGGGGAGGGGGGTTCGGTTCAAAAGCATATTTTTTCCGTTAAATCTGCTTTCCCTGAAGAGAACAATAAAAACATGTGAAAATTTTGGGTTGTCCCAAGGACTTTTGGCCAGGATTGTAGGTAGGAGATTGCAGATTTTTTATCACATTTCTACAATGTACAATTAGGATTTTATTGGATGAGTCGATATTTTTCTCACTGTTTAAAGTGCTGTCAAAAGAACAGGTGGGAAATTTGTCTGAGCATGTGTGAGCAAAATTAGTCACGCAATTGAGTGGAATACACGCAACACATGTTTACAAAAAGGCACAATCATGTAAATATTGCCAAATGTTTGTACAAAATAAATTACTGTTTTATGGACATGGTCTAAATTAATCATACAGAATTTTTTAGTGACGTTCTATTTCAGTACCCTGCCATTGTCTCTGGTGGGCTGTCCATGTGCATTCGATCTGAAACAGTTGCTAGCAACTTTGCTGTTGAAAAATTTCGAATGTTTACATGAAAATAGAGGCAAGTCATGCATGTTACAATCTCATAATCTGTATGAGCCCCTATTTTTACGTTTATACCCAAGATATCAAATAAAAATACATGAAACAGAGAACATTTTTAGAAAGTTTTATCGTGAGGCCACGGCCAGTTTTTAAAATATCTTTATTTCTGTTCCGGTCATCACCAAAAGTACACTAAAGCCGGGCTTGAATATACAACAAATTTTGAATCTCATCAAGTACAAATATATTTAACGTGTAACCAAAATATGCTCGTGAAATTGAAATCAATAGCTAAATTTTCAAAACTAAAATTAATAGCTAAATTTTCTCGAGCCGGTTTTCAAGAAGGAAGTTCACATTTCGGCCTTTTATTCTTGGCAAAAATTTGACCTCAACATGTGCGAAGCAACTGGGTCTCAAAGACTCAGCTAAAACATTGTGAGTTGAAAAGTTTTTTTTTCATTTAGCTATATTTGAAATTGAGGCCAGAGGCTATTTTTGAGAAAATACAGTTCAAAGTCAAGATATTTTTACATATTTTCAAAATTTGTCAATTTTTGCAAGCTTGTATTTTGAAGTTAGACCACTGAAGTTACATTAAGAAACATAGGATGGAAAATTTGGGGCATATAAAGTTAATTTCAACTTTCATTTCATTCTCATATCACATCTTTCTTCGTTTATTACGGTTTTAAAGAAGCCACAGATCGATGTATACGGTATTTACTCCCATGTTCACATCGCCATATTAACTTCTTCCAATCACTCGATTACAAAACAAATCATCCCAAAACAAAGAATTCATAGTCGACTTTTAAAAGAATGACTGTTAATTTGTAAATCGGTGAATGGAAAGCAAAAAATCGTCAGCTAAAACAGCTTCTTGCTAATTTTCTGCTTTGTTTTGAATGTAAATGCAATGAGCTTTGTTTATGCCTGCAATTTTTGGTCAGCAATGACAAATTTCCCACCTGTTTGTCAAAAGTGAAAATATTCTTTTAATGAAAATATAAAGTCCCTATAGCCTTCCACCATATAAATTATGAATGCAGCCTAACTTATCTTTAAGTTTCATTAGCCATGGGCTGGCCCATTAATATATGAGAGCAAAATCGTAATATAGTTCCTCAATCGTCTTCTTACCATTCTCATACAGTTCCCATTGTTGGAAGAGTTTTTCTTGCTGATTCCTGTATGTCTTCTGTTGGATCCTTTTCAGCTTAACAGGTGGGAAATTTGTCGTCACCAAAAATTTAATACATTCAAAACAAAGCAGAAAGTTAGCAAGAAGCTGTTTTAGCTAACGATCCATTCTACGATTTAGAAATTAACGGTTCTTTTAAAAATCGATTATGAATTCTTTGTTTTGGGATGATTTTTGTTGTAATCGAGTGATTGGAAGAAGTGAATATCGCAACGTGAACATGGAAGCAAATACCATATATGTTGAATTATGGCTTGTTTAAAACCGTAATGAACGAAGAAAAACGTGATACGAGAATGAAATGTAAGTTGAAATTTATTTCATATGCCTGAAATTTTCCATCCTATTTTTTTAATGCAACTTCAGCAATATAAGTTCATAATGCAAGCTTGCAAAA